GTGCTTTTATGTCTCCCACTCTCAGCAAGCCCAATTCCCTCAACTAAGTGCTCCAGCCCCCTCACCATCTAGTCCCTCTTCTGCTCAGTTTGCTGAGCTTGATGACAATCTTTCCTAGGATGACAATAATTTAGGTTGGAATGTGCCTTATGACCATCTAGTCCAACCATATATCTAATGCTGTCAAGCCTACCACTAAACCATATCATGAATTGCCACATCTTTTAAACACCTCCAGGGTCAGTGACTCAACCACTTCCCTGGGCAATCTGTTCCTGTGCATGACAATCATTTCATTGAAGAAATTTTTCTTAATGGCCAATTAAATCTCCCCTGGTGCAACTTGAGGGTATATTCTCTCATCCTATCGCTTGTTACTTGGGAGAAGGGACTGACACCCACCTCGCTACAATCTTCTTTCAGGGAGTTTTAGAGAGTGATAAGGTCCCTCTCTGAGTCTAACTTTTCTCCAGGTTTAACATCCCCAGCTCCCTCATCTGCTCCTCATCAGACTTGTGCTCCAGACCCTTCCCCAACTTTGTTACCCTTCTCTGGACACGCTCCAGCCCCTCAATGTCCTTCTTGCAGTGAGGGGCCCAGAACTGAACCCAGGATTCACGGTGTGACCTCACCAGTGCCAAGTACAGGGGAACAATCACTGCCCTGGTCCTGCTGCCACACTATTCCTGTTACAAGCCAGGAGGCCATTGGCCTTCTTGGCCACCCGGACACACTCAGGCTCATGTTCAGCCACTGTCACCAGCACCACCAGGTCCTTTCCAGCCACTCTGCCCCCAGCCTGGAGCACTGCAGGGAGTTGTTGTGACCCAGGGGTTGGACACAGCATTTCTCCTTGTTGAACTTTATACAGTTGGCCTTGGCCCATCAATCTGACCTGGTCAGATGCCTCTGTAAAGCCTTTCTAACCTCCAGCAGACCTAGTACAACAATGACACCCAACTTGGAGTCATCTGCAAACTAACTGAGGGTGCACTTGATCCCCTCATCCAGGGTGTCCATAAAGATACTAAACAGAACTGGACCCAAAACTGAACCCTGGGCCACACCACTAGTGATCAGCCACCAACTGGATTTAACTGCACTCACCACTACTCTCTTGGCCCAACCATAAAGACAATTTCTTATCCAGTGAATATGATACACATGAGCAGGCAGTTTCTCCAGGAGAATGCTGTGGGAAATGGTGTCAAAAACTTTACTAAAGTCCAGGTAAACAAAATCTACATCCTTTCCCTTGTCCACTAAGTGGGTTGGTTATCTTGTCATAGGAGATCAGGTCAGTCAAGCAGGATGTGTCTTTTCTACAGCTATTCTGACTGAACCTGATCACCTGGTTGTCCTGTATGTGCTTTGTGAGTGCACTCAAGATGATCTGCTTTACAACCTTCCCTGGTGCAAAGGGCAGACTAACGGGCCTGTAGTTCTCTGGATGCTCCTTCTGGCCCTTCTTGTAGATGCATCTTTCTTGCATTAGAGCCCAAAATTCAACAAAGATGTTGATGACAGTCCTCAGTGTCTGGAAACAGTCCTGCTGTCTGGAAACAGCCCTGGCAATGGCACCTCTTTTGATGGCATTACCACAAAAGCATCTTTTTCTGGTCTTGCTTTTGGGCTGCTATTTCTCAGGGACAGAAGGACAACTGGCTGCTACCAAGCCAATGTCTGATCAGGGCTCTGGGTGGACACGTGTCACCCTGCCCAGCTGTGTCCTGCAGCAGTTCAGTCACTCCCCTCCCTCAGTTGCTCCTGGACAGCCCTTCGAGACAGCCCTTCCTGCCCTGAATTTCTCCCTGCCTCCATCTCTCCATGATTTTTTCCAGGAAACCCTGGGCACAGACAGGGAAGGAGGAAAGGGAATGGGACAAGAACTGCCTGTGGGTCTGTGCGTGTGTTGACCCTGATCAGCTCTAAGCTCCCCCTGGCCATTTGTATTCACTCCACTATCACAATGGGATCAACCAAGAATTGGAAGTGCAAGGGAGTGAAATACTCTTGGATCAAGATAATGGCAGTTGAGAAGGAAAGGGACAAGAAAGGAAAAAGCACAAGTTGTGCAAGACCAATCACCCACCACCTTGCAGCAGCAGCTCGATGCCCAGCCATCTCCAAACAGAACAACTACTTTGGAGAGACTGCCCATAGTTTTTTTGCTGGGCACGTTATATGGCATGGCAAACCCCTTCCATCAGTTCAGCTGAACCACTGGAAAGACATTTCCTACTTGATTCTTGTTCCCTGGCACAGTGGTAGCCAGAGAAGGAGGAATTGTTTCCTCACCTCTCCTCTCATCTCCTCACCTCTCCTCTGCTTGCCTCACCTCCTACTACCCTTGGAGGACATGGATGACTTCCAAAACTGCAAGTCACAATACCTGAGGGGGACCCATTGCACTCCCCATTCTCCTCTCCTTTTGTCAGTGCTGAAGGCTCCCCAAGCACCCCCAACTTCCTCAGGGCCTACAGTGTCCACAGAAGAGGCAGTAAACAATTATTCTTATGATGGTTTGGTCTTGTCTGGCTACCAGGTGGTGGAGTCATAGTTATTAACTTATTGATCACATCCACAGGGATGTCACAACACCCACCCTGCTATTTTACTTTCAAGAAACACGTCCCCTATGCAGGTCCTTCAACCTGGCTTCTCTTCAAGGCCAATCCACCTTCCAAAAGAATTGGAATTATTCTTTTGCACTTCTCAAACACTTCTCCTTTCTAGCCTCACATGAAAGGGGAACTGAACTGCAAGTAAACTGACAGCCTTCTTGCATGACCTTGGCAGCTGTCTTCCCCCTTCATACCTCATACACAGACTTCCACCTTCAAGGTGGGCTCTTACCATCCTCAGTGCTCCCACTGCTCTTGCAGGAAGAGCCAGAGGGGCTGTGTAGCAGGATCTTGGGGCTCCCTTTCCCACTGACCTCATGGAACAGAATAGGCTACAATGGGTCACCCTTCACAGCTGAGGTGCTGACAGCGAGAGAGCTTTTCTTCAGACTTTCAGGGACAGGAAGATGCTCTCTCCACAGTTAGTGCATCCTCTTTGCTGATTCCTGGTCAGGCCCTTTCTCCCCCTCACTCGATCCATTGACAGTGGATCACTTCCTTGTCCACTATTTCTTTTCTCCTACTGGGACAATTACCACACGTGTTGTTTGGGTCCCTACCTCAACCCTGGTGTTCTCACATGAGAGTTGGGTGTCTGCCTCAACCACCATGTTCTTAACTGTAGTTTGGATGCATGGCTCTACTGTGACATCCTCAGAAGTGATTTGGGTCCCTGTCTGAATCACTGTCCTCTGATACTACTGAATGGTGGCTCAACAGGCACAGGTCAAGCTCCAATATTTTCTAAAAGCTGCCACCTAGGGACCAACCACCTCAGGGCATGTTTCACTGTTGCCATACCAAAAACTCGTCTCTTCTTATGCCACCCTGACCAGATACCTCAAACCCCACATTAAGTCAATAGAGTTAATTAGTATTTTTAAACACCTCACACTAAGATGGAAAAGGAGTTGTGAGTCAGCACGAAACAACCTGTGTCATTCTTGGGTGAGAAGGGAGAGGTGTATTCCTTCATCCTCCCCACCAGGCAGCTCCCCCAGCACAGTATCATCTTTCCTGGTCGCCAAAATCCTATCACTCTCCCTCCTCAGAGAGTAAGGGGGGGGGATATAAAATTAAAATACTGTGTATTGAGAAAAAGGCAGTTTAATGAAGTTAAGCAAGGAAACACTGCAGAAACACAGCAAAGCAAAGAGATTTATTATCACCTTCCCATCAACAGGAAATGTCCAGCCACTCCTGGGAAGCAGGGTCACATTTAGCAGTTTTTTCAGAAGACAAACAATCTACTAACGAATGCTCCACCACCCCCCACCTACTATTTTCTCTAAGCAATTATTGCTGACCATCATGTCCTATGGTATGGAATATGCCTTTGGTCAGAGTCAGTCAGCTGTCCTGGCTGTGTACTCTCCCAGCCTCTTGCCCACAACCACACTACAGGTGTTCTGAAGAGGAGGCTGGAGATAAGGAACTGATGCTGGACAAGTCCTGCCCAGAAAAACTCAAAACACTTCTGTGTTCTCAGCACCATTCCAGCTCCAACTACAAGGAACTAGAAGAGGAGTTAATGTGGTGAAACTTGACTCCATCTTATGTAGGCCCCATACGATGCTGTTACCCATCACTGCATATTCATCCCAAGCAAACACTCACAGAAACACACCTGAAAAACATCTTATTCCCTGGGCATCTTGAGAGAGCACCTGCAGGGGAAAGGATGATGCAGAGACATGAGCTGGGATGAAACAGAAATTTATTGAGTCAAGAGGGAAAAGAGGTTGCCCTGAGTGGAGGTCCCAGTGAGGGAGCACCAGGGACAGAAAGGAATCTGTGCCCCTTTAGTTGTGGTAGAGACCCCACCAGGTGTCAACCTGCCTGACCCAGAGATGGAACAGGGCCAGCAGGTCCTCCCCAGGCTGGTTGTGTGGCTGAGAGCCCACAGGAGCACAAGGGAACACGGACACAGGACAGAAAGGAGAGAGTGGCAGACTCCCCCGATCATTTTGTGATGGCATATGCAGGGGAAAGGATGACACATAGGCAAGGGCTCGAATGCAGCAGAACTTTATTGTGTCAAAAGGTGGAAACTGGGTAACTGAGTGCAGGGAGCACCAGAGGCACATCGGAGTCTGCACCAAGTAACTCTGGTGGAGATTCCAGCAGGTGTCCATCTGCCTGCCCCATGGAAGCAGCAGGGTCAGCCGGTCATCCCCAGGCTGACTGTGAGGGCCTCACAGACCAGGGAGCACAAGGGAACAAGGACACAGGATGGAAAGGAGAGTGGCAGAGGGCAAAGGCAGGGCTGGGCCGTGTTTGCCCAGAGCCTCGTCCTTCTGCAAGGGCTGCTGGGCTGGCTCAGCCCCTCTGGAAGCAGCAAGATGATGCTCCACCACCAGTGAAATACCATCTTGTGAGTCCTCGAGGGCCTTCCCCAGGGCCATGGGCAGCAGCTTTAGCAGGGGAAGCAGCTCCTGCCACAGTAGCCACCACCAAGGCCAGAGAGGCCAAAGCCCCCGGAGTTGATGGGCACTCCCTGAGAGCTGAGGATGCTGCCAACGGCAGCGGAGGTGGAGGATCCCACGGCGGTGTTCTGTGGGAAGGAGCTGAGGATGGGCCCGGGCAGGGTCACCACCACGGGGGAGGGCTGGATGAAGACATTGGAGTCCTGGCACTGCCTGACACAGGGCTCATTGCAGCTGTTGGCCAGCGGGGTCGGGCCGCAGGGCTGGCAGGGCTGGCACGGGGTGTAGCAG